CCTATACTTGTGTGAGATTTCAAATAAACTATGCAGATAAAACTCTGTGTTTTTCTCTCTGATTTCAGACCCTTCCTACCTTAGCTCATTCCCAATGTGATCTTTCTAATCCAGATCCAATCAAGTTATTTCTGTGCCTAAAACTCTTTAATGGTTCCCCACTGCCAAAGGGGAAAATCTAAACATCTAAACATAGTCCTTTAAAACCTTGACCCAGGCTTCTTTGCAATTTCATGTCAATCACTCCCCATAATATCCTATGTCCCAGTTACATTGAATAACTTATTCACATTCCCCAAAGATGTCATGCCTGTTTCATGACACCTGTTTCACTTGTGATTTTCCACTCACTGGCATGTACTCTCCTCTCTAGACCCACCTCCCTAATTCATCCTTAAGGACCTTGCTTTCATGTTTGACATTTTTATGGCTAGAATGGATTTGTGTACTACTTTAATAATTAAAAGACTAAATAAACATTCTAGAAAAAAAAATTATGATCATGTTTAAATGTCACATTTTCTGTTAAAAATTCCTGATACTCCTTGATCATTTAACTATGTTTCCATGGTTACTGTGTAGCTTGTACCTTCCTCTATTATTAATATCATAATAAGTTTATGTGTCTGCCTCAGTTCTGAGTCACTGAAGCAGGCAATGTGATCTCCCTCATTACTAAACTCAAGACCTATATTCATAAATAATGTGGAGAAAGTACCTATGAAAGACTAAACCATATGGAATCAGGATTGCATCAGTTACTTTGGGCAACCCAGACTGAGACACTCGTTAGAGCTTTTCTCTCCCATGGAAGAACAGAGAGTAGTGTCAGAGCACAAATATAGATTCCCAAGTAGTAACTTAACAGTAATCCTCCTGCTCTGAAAATTGTCATGGTCCACGTTGTCCAATATAGTGTATATAATTCACCAGAGTGGCATTGCCCCTAGAAACTGTTTTCTCAATTCCTCTAAAAATATAACTCTCAATGTGCTTTATAAAAGGTAAATTTTAGGGTGGTTGATTAATTTCAACTAGGCACTATGTATACTTTTTGAGTGAAAAAGCAGTATAATAACTGATGGCTTGGTTCTTTCTTGGGTGGATACAAAAGATGTGGATAACATACTTTCTGTTGATAATTTTTTAAAGAGGGGATAATTATGAATGTGATATAAATATTAAACGAGCACTCCTCATAGGTATTATTTGATTCATTAATTCCTTTATCCCTCTCATCCTTTTTATTTTTTGTGTATGTCTTATGTTAATGCTTAACATAAGACCTATCCTGTTAACAAATTTTTAGGTATGCAATAAAGTATTGTGTTGTATTTCATCATGACATACAGTAGAGATCTAGGACTTACTATTCATCTTGTAAAAATGGACCTTTGTACCCTTTGACCAACGCCTCCCTATTTGCCTCTCCTCTTCTCTGTCAACCACCATTCTACTCTCTGCTTCTTCACTGAGTGTCTTGGCTCTTTTCTTTTTAATTTCAACTTTTATTTCATTTATAGGGAGTACATGTGTAGGTTTCTTACATGGATATATTGCACCCAGGTCATGAGCACAGTACCCAGTAGATTTTCGACCCATGCCCCCCTCCCCACCCCTCCCCTCTCTGGTAGTCCATGGTATCTATTGTTCCCATGTTTATGTTAATGTGTGCTCAGTGTTTAGCTCCCACTTATAAGTAAGAACATGTGGTATTTGGTTTTTTGTTCCTGCACTGGTTCACTTAGGATTATAGCCTTGAGTTCCATCCATGTTGCTGCAAAGGACATGATTTCATTCCTTTTTATGGTTGTGTAGTATTTCATGGTATATATGTACCACATTTTCTTTATCCAGTCAATCATTGATAGTCACCTAGATTGATTCCATGTCTTTGCTATAGTGAATAGTGCTGTGATGAACATATGAATGCATGTGTCTTTTTGGTATAACGATCTATATTCCTTTAGGTATATACCCAATAATGAGATTGCTGGGTCAAATGGTAGCTCTGTTTTAAGCTCTTAGAGAATGTCCAAATTGCTCTCCACAGTGGCTGAACTAATTTACATTTCCATCAACAGTACATAAGCATCCCCCTTTCTCCACAGCCTCGCCAACATCTGTTATTTTTTGACTTTTTAAGTTCTTGGAGAAATCGCCACACTTCTTTCCACGATGGCTGAACTAAATTACATTCCCACCAGTAGCATATAAACATCTCCTTTTTTCTGCAATCTTACCAGCATCTGTTATTTTTTGACTTTTTAAAAATAGCCATTCTGATTGATGTGAGATGGTATCTCATTGTGGTTTTGATTTGCATTTCTCTAATGATTAATGATGTTGAACATTTTTCATATGATATGAACATTTTCAAAAAACAACCTCACTTGTATGTTCTCTTTTAAGAAGTCTGATCTTGTCCTTTGCCCATTTTTTAGTGGGGTTGTTTTTTGCTTGTCGATTTCAGTTTCTTATAGATTCTGGATATTAGACCTTTGTCAGATGCATAGCTTATGAATATTTTCCCTATTCTGTAGTTTGTCTAAGTACTCTGCTGATAATTTCATTTGCTGTGCAGAAGCTTTTTAGTTTAATTAGGCCCCACTTGTCAATTTTTGTTTTTGTTGCAATTGCTTTTGAGGACTTAAGTCAAAACTTCTTTGCCAAGCCAGTGTCAAGAAAGGCATTTTCTAGGTTTTCTTCTAGGATTTTTATAGTTTTAGATCTTACATTTAAATCATTAATCCATCTTGAGTTAATTTTTATATACAGTAAAAGATCTAAGGATCTGGTTTCATTCTTCTACATATGGCTAGCCAGTTATCCCAGCACTACTTATTGAATAAGGAATCCTTTCCCCATTGCTTGTTTCTCTCAGCCTTGTCAAACATCAGATGGTGAGAAGTGTGCAGTTTTATTTCTATGTTTTCTATTCTGTTCCATTGGTCTATGTGCCTGTTTTTGTACCAGTACCATGCCATTTTGGTTACTATAACCTGATAGTAGAGTTTGAAGTCAGGTAGTGTGATGACTCTTTTTTCTTTTTGCTTAGAATTGCCTTGGCTATTCAGGCTGTTCTTTGGTTCCACATGAATTTTAGGCTAGTTTTTTCTAACTCTGTGAAGAATAACATTGTTAGTTTGATGCAAATAGCATTGAATCTGTAAGTTGATTTGGGCAGTATGGCCATTTTAATGATATTGATTCTTTCAATCCATAAGCATGGAATATTTTTCCATTTATTTGTGTCATCTCTGACTTCTTTCAGCAGTGTTTCATAGTTTTATTTGTCGACATCTTTCACCTCTTTGGTTAGCTATATTCCTAAGTATTTCATTTTCTTTGTGGCTATTGTGAATGGAATTATGTTCTTGATTTGACTCTCAGCCTAACATTACTGATGTATAGAAATACATCAGAAATTTTTGTACATTAATTTCATATTCTGAAACCTTGCTAAAATCCTGTAGCAGTTCTAGCAGCCTTTTGGTGGAGTCTTTATGGTTTTCTAGGTGTAGAATCATGTCATCAGTGAAGACAGATAGTTTGACTTATTTTGCTATTTGAATGCCTTTTATTTCTTTCCCTCGTTTGGTTGCTCTGGCTAGGACTTCCTGACTCATTCATTCTTGAGAGAACCAGTAAGATGTTAGAATGACCCAAAGAGTATGTGTGTGTGTGTTTGTGTGTGTGTGTCTATGTGTGTGCATAAAATAATAAATTTGCTTAAAACATGCAGAATAGGCCAATATCAATTGCGTTTACATAAGACACAATTTACCTTTCTATGGAAAAGAATCATTTTATCATTACCAGTATCCTACCACTTATAAAGTTGTAAAATAACTTATATCTACAATAGATAAACTGAAAGTTGTGTTAGATAATGTCTTTTCTATAACATTATGCTATTAAAGCACTAATGCATTTTGTACAAAAAATATTACTTATATAGATTTAGAAGCAAATATGTTTATGAGTATTCAACTAAACACTCTGATTGTTCTTGAACATTGCCTTGTAACAACATGATCTATAAAACAGAACAATGTCTCTCAAATTGGTTGTTTATAAGATTTAACTGGGGTGCTTCTTAACATCTAGATTTCCAGGTCCTCTTCTAGGAAATTCTCATTCAGTAACAAAAATTTCTCTTCAGAATGGGAGCTAGAAATAAATATTTTTAAAGAAGCACTATACACAACAATCCAATGCTGTGGGGAATGTTGACTGAAAGCAAGCTTGAAAATAATACCATAACTATAATTTTAAGAATATTTAAATTAATTAATCAATAGTTAATTGAACTTTAACCCAGGAGGTTTATCAAGACTTTGTTTTCCCACAGAAAACGTCTAAATTCATAACCACTTATTGTTTTCCCGATTTGTTTAACTACTTTACCAGAGAACACATATTAATTGCATCTGAAGCACTACCCTTTTAACTTTGAAAGGTACTTACTCTATATATTTCCCTCACCTCTTGTATAAAATGATGGCATTCTTTGAGCTCCCAAAATTATGTTTGAAAAATTTACAAATGTAGCAAAGTAATCAAAAAGCAATAAACTGAGGTCGGCCACCAATAACAGCAGAGATAAGTGAGTCACCAAAGCCTAAAATATTAGTGCATGTGGGAAAGAGGTAAAGATGAAATAATAAGTCAGAGTGATATCTGAATCTAAAGAGCAAATCCACGATCAAATTTTGCATGAGTGCACAGATGGGCAAGAGAAGAGATTTAAGAAATAAATACAGTAGATCCAGATAAATTTCCGGGCAACATTCTTCAAAGAGAAAGACTTTTTATTCCCATAAAAGGAACTGAATTTCAGCCAGTAACATTAGTACATTGACATATTTCTGTAGTACTTGGTAAATAGTCACTATCCTAAGCCCCTATGCCTTCCCCCTAGCAAACCCAGTATCCAGCAACTGAAGGGATAATATATGAATCAGTAGAGGACCCCAAAAACTTTGATCCAGACTTACTGTATTCTGATTGCTTTAAGTCCTCTTCCTATTGATGGTTAAATATTGTGGTTATTACTCTTGCTCACAGTGATGCCTCCACTGGTCTTTCATGATTCTCTGAACCAGATTCCCAAAACTACAAAAAAAAAAAAATAATTTTCTCCTAGAAAAATGGGCATTTGAATTCTTAGGACTGTTATTATTCCAGCATTTGAATTCTTAGGACTTATCAACCTGAAAGTATCCCCAAGAGCAGCCAGGTTCTTACATTGCTATTGTCACTTAACACTTCACCATGTGATAGTGCACCAGATGGGGGTTGCAGTTAATTCTTTGGTCACTTCTTAACTGATAAATTTTGTTGTCACTTATTTCCTGCTAATTTCTGTGTAGCCTCCTTCCAGATACTCCTAAAAAGGGTCAGAAAAAAAATTTCGAACATCTATAATCTGTAAGAGACTATAGTAAATGCTACTATATTTAAACATGGACCTAAGCAAAGCAGTACAATTTAAAACAAGAATATGATTTCATCATACAAGAGAACAATGTTTTTCTCTTTATATGTACATTGTATAACTTTTAATTTCTATTTACTCTGGGAATTCTATATTTCTTATTGAAATACTTGGGCTTTCTCATTTTAAAAAGTCATGCAAATTTATTTACACGTCAGCTTATCTTTGTGTGTAATGGAATTCGTGAGTTGCTTACACCAGATGTCTAAGGGAAAGTCCTGTTTTTTTTATTTGGAAATTGTGAAAATCCTTTTACAACCCTGGCCCTCAGTGTGCTCCCATGAAAATGAGTATATTGAACAAAATCAGAGTATTTCCAACTTTATATCAACATGAAGTTCTCATCATATGAAATTTTGCACAAAAGCTTACCAATAAGCAGGGTTTCTCCAGTTAAAGCAGAGGAAGGCAGAGTATTGCCAGTTTGAAACTCATCCACTTCCCAGGCAACTTATAGACACCCTAAAAGAACTGCCTAAGATTCCACAAAAACACAGTGTAAAATTAAAAAAAAAAAAAAAAAAAAAAAAAAGATCAGTAACACCCTTTCCAACTCTAAAATTTCTAGAAAAATTTATAGTATGTTCCCATGGCTTGGGTTGTTCAATTATAGATCAAATGAAGACTGAACTGATTAAGGCTAAACTAGTACAAACACATAGTGGAGAATAATATTATATGTTATACATAATATATGAGAAATAACAAAAAGTAGGCAAAGTTATGCCATTGTACCTCATTCTCAATCCCTTCACATCTTATGATACAATCCAAACCAAATATCAATTAAAGTAATGCCTATTTAATTAAAAATAAACAATAAAGTAATTTTTACTTAACTAAAAATTCAATCAAAAAAATAAAATAATAACTTTAATAAGAATCATAGACCACATTATACTGTAAGCATTTAGCTATAGTGCTCTGTGTGTATGTGGGTGTGTGTGTGTGTGTTAGTCCTTTTTCACACTGCTATAAAGACACTACCCAAGACTGGGTAATTTATAAAGGATATTTAATTGACACATTTCCGCATGGCTTGGAAGGCCTTAGGAAACTTACAATCAGGGCAGAGGGAAAAGCAGGTATCTTCTTCACAAGCTGGCAGGAGAAAGAGAGAGTCAGCATAGGAAAAACTGCCACTTTTAAAACCATCAGATCTTGTGAGACTCACTCACTATCATGAGAACAGCATGGGGAAAACCACCCCCCATAATGCAATCACTTCCCTTGCTCAACACATGAGGATTACAATTCAAGATGAGATTTGTGTGGGGACACAGAGTCAAACCATATCAATATGAATACATGTATACATTTTTAAAATATAAGATATATGAGGAAAAAAATATATATATATATATGTATTCTGCAAAAGTTTCCTTTGATGGTTTTATCTAGGGGACTACCATGTCCCTAACTAGATTCCAAGCCACACCCTTAAAGCCACTACTATACACGATTTCAATCATTCCTTGGTGACCATCATTAATCCAGTGATTTGGACAACTTTAGAAAAGTTGAAATTTTACCAAATCCAATCCATACTTCACACGGTGACAAGAGTTAGCTATAAAAACATGAATTCATAAATTCATGACTAGTGTGCTTAAAACACTCATAGCTTTCCACCTCCCGGAGACTCAGTGTGAAATCCCAGACCTTCATGATTTGGCCCCTGAAACCTCACAAGCCTCACCTAGTCCCACTCTCTCTCTATCCACTCCACTCCAGGAAGCTTGGCCTTCTCTCAGCCTCATGTTCTCTGCCATGTCATGGGAACCTTAACTGTGCTGCTCCTCAGCCTAGAACACACATCTTTTCAGGCAGTTGCTTCATCAGTCTATTTATTCTTCAGACATCAGCTGGGACCTCACATCCTCAAAGAAGCTTTCTTGACCTAGTCTAAGTCAAACATCCTGCTACATGTTCCAACACCACCTTATATCTTTTCATAAAACTTTGCATTCTTAGGCTGGTTCAGGATACTCAAATCAATAAATGTAATCCATCACATAAACAGAACCAAAGACAAAAACCACATGATTATCCCAATAGATGCAGAAAAGGCCTTTGATAAAATTCAACACCCCTTCATGCTAAAAACTCTCAACAAACTAGGCATCGATGAAACGTATCTCAAAATAATAAGAGCTATTTATGACAAACCCACAGCCAATATCATACCGAATAAGCAAAAACTGGAAGCATACCCTTTGAAAACCAGCACAAGACAAGGATGCCCTCTCTCACCACTCCTATTCAACATAGTATTGGAAGTTCTGGCCAGGCCAATCAGGCAACAGAAAGTAATAAAGGGTATTCAAATAGGAAGAGAGGAAGTCAAATTGTCTCTATTTGCAGATGACATGATTGTGTATTTAGAAAACCCCATCATCTCAGCCCAAAATCTCCTTAAGCTGATAAGCAACTTCAGCAAAGTCTCAGGACACAAAATCAACATGCAAAAATCTCAAGCATTCCTATACACCAATAACAGACAAACAGAGCGCCAAATCATGAGTGAACTCCCATTCACAACTGCTACTAAAAGAATAAAATACCTAGGAATCCAACTTAAAAGGGATGTGAAGGACCTCTTCAAGGAGAACTACAAACTACTGCTCAAGGAAATAAGAGAGGACACAAACAAATGGAAAAACATTCCATGCTCATGGATAGGAAGAATCAATATTGTGAAAATGGCCATACTGCCCAAGGTAATTTATAGATTCAATGCTATTCCCATCAAACTACCACTGACTTTCTTCACAGTATTGGAAAAAAACTACTTCAAACTTCATATGAAACCAAAAAAGAGCCCGCATGGCCAAGACAATCCAGGGCAAGAAGAACAAAGCTGGAGGCATCACATTACCTGACTTCAAACTATACTACAAGGCTACAGTAACCAAAACAGCATGGTACTGGTACCAAAATAGATATATAGACAAATGGAACAGAACAGAGGCCTCAGAAATAACACCACACATCTACAACCATCTGATCTTTGACAAACCTGACACAAACAAGCAATGGGGAAAAGATTTCCTTTTTAATAAACGGTGTTGGGAAAACTGGCTAGCCATATGCAGAAAACTGAAACTGGACCCTTTCCTTACACCTTATACAAAAATCAACTCAAGATGGATCAAAGACTTAAATGTAAGACCTAGGATCATAAAAATCCTAGGAGAAAACTTGGGCAATACCATTCAGGACATAGGCATGGGCAAAGACTCGTGTCTAAAACACCAAAAGCAATGGCAACAAAACCCAAAATTGACAAATGGGATCTAATTAAACTAAAGAGCTTCTGCACAGCAAAAGAAACTGTCATCAGAGAGAACAGGCAATGTACAGAATGGGAGAAAATTTTTGCAATCTATCCATCTGACAAAGGGATAATATCCAGAATCTACAAAGGACTTAAACAAATTTACAAGAAAATAACAACAACAACAACAATAAAAAAGCATCAAAAAATGGGCAACAGATATGAACAGACACTTCTCAAAAGAAGACATTTATGCAGCCAAAAGACATATGAAAAATGCTCATCATCACTGGTCATTAGAGAAATGCAAATCAAAACCACAATGAGATACCATCTCATGCCAGTTACAATGGTGAACATTAAAAAGTCAGGAGACAACAGATGCTGGAGAGGTTGTGGAAAAATAGGAATGGTTTTACACTGTGGGAGTGTAAATTAGTTCAACCATGGTGGAAGACAGTGTGGCAATTCCTCAAGGATCTAGAACTAGAAATGCCATTTGACCCAGCAATCCAATTATTGGGCATCTACCCAAAGGAATATAAATCATACTACCATAAAGACACATGCATATGTATGTTTATTGCTCCACTATTCACAATAGCAAAGACTTGAAACCAACCCAAATGCCCATCAATGTTAGCCTGGATTAAGAAAATGTGGCACACATACCCCGTGGAATACTATGCAGCCATAAAAAAAGGATGAGTTCATGTCCTTTTCAGGGACATGGATGAAGCTGGAAACCATCATTCTCAGAAAACTATCAGAAGATCAGAAAACAAAACATCACATGTTCTCACGTGTAAGTGAGAGTTGAACAATGAAAACATGTGGACACAGGGAGGGGAACATCACACACCAGGGCCTGTCAGGAGGTGGGTGGCTAGGGGAGGGATAACATTAGGAAAAATACCTAACGTAGGTGACAGTTTGAGGGGTGCAGCAAACCACCATGGCACATGTATACGTATGTAACAAAACTGCATGTTCTGCACACGTAACCCAGAACTTAAAAGTATAATAAAAAAAAAAAAAAGGAAAAAAAGAAAATTAGGATATAAATGTAGAAAATTTTTTAAAAAAACAACTTTGCATTCTTGGAACTATTTAATTCATCATTTGTAATTATCTGTTTATCTTCTGAATTTTTTTTTTTTTTGCCAGTAAATTCCACAGGGCCGTTTTTGTTTCTCTTATCACTACAGCTCCAGCACTGCTCCTAGTAGCTGGCATTTCATACATATTTGATAAATATTTATTGACAATAAAGAATACTTCAAAAATTTAAAGTGTGTAATTTATTCCTTAATGGCTAGTAATAGTTTTCAACTCACTTTCTCATAACTAAAAAAGATGCTTAAATTTTCTTTTGTTCTGAAAGATTTTATGCTTTTTAATTCTTGAGCTGAATGGAATGTTCTGAATACATATGCTTTTATAGAGCCATCTAGTGCCCATTTTGTTTAGTGAAACTAAAAATTAAAACAGGAGGAAAAGCCCACAATATCCTCAACAGTGAAGAATGTATAACCTCCATCTGGCAGCAGCAATTTAATACATTAACTGTTCTGTTGAATGACTTTTTTCCTGAGCTACTTCTGGCCTTCACTGTATGCACATCAAATTAGTCATTCTCGATTCTGGTAACTAAAAATGAGAGGAGAGTTTTATAGTTAACACGGTATATTGAACAAATGTGCTGCTACTTGCTTCCTCCTGAAACCCCGCTACAATGACAATAAAGGAATAAAATATGTGCAATGTGTAAAGATAAAGAGAACAGAGTAGGAAACAGCAGCAAATAAGAGATGAAACAAAATTTTAGAACTTAGAAGAATGGATAGTAACTGACATTGCCTTTAGAGAAGCTGATAACTAAGGAAGACTATGCAGAAAGCCAGTAAGATGAATCCCCAAACAACTCAAAAACTGAAGGCAAAATAGTTACAGCCCTTCTCAAGAAATTACTGTAGGATTTGTACTCCAGCAGAGTATAAACCAGGAAATAATGAAAACATGATATTCAGGACATAGGATGAAGGAAAGAGGTAAAGGGAAATTCCCAGACTGATCATAATGGAGAGTCTCAAGATTCCATCTGTGAAACAAAGAAAGTAACCAGTAAAAATTGGAGCAGAAGGATTGAGAACTCTAAGAAATATCTAAAAAGGACAACAAACAAACAAACAAAACAG